CACTTCAATGCTTCCATAAATACAACAATTGTAGCATTAGTCTTCTTTCTCCACTTGGTGATGAGTTTCCATAGTGAAAAATGTGTTCTGGTGTAGACCTGCACAAAAGTTACTCTGATGAATTTGAAACCCTAAGAACTTGGACCTACACTGTTCTGACCAACTGCTGAGAATCTTCCTGAAATCCCATCATTGTATATCCTGATGTTTTTAAACCACTTCCACCAAAGACTGATTAAAATGCTACCGAAGTACAAATAATCCCGTTTCCTTCACATGCAGTGTCTGAGTAACTCACAAATGGATTTAAAATTACCCCTTTATGCAGCTGACCTTTTTAAGGTGCAGGTTAGCAATCTACTTAAGCTTGTCCAAAACTGTGCTGCCCCGTTGAGTCTGCAGGACCAGTTATGTAGCAATGAGACTGCCAACTGCTCAGACACAAAGGGGCTGACAGGAGCTCACAGCTGGGATGGAGGGAATGCAGCACCACAGCTTTTGGAAGTCGTTCCATCCTACCTTTCTCTGCTGACAGGAACACCAAGCACTTTTCAGCCTCTCTAGTCATGCAGCAATAGAGAACCTCACTAATAAGAGTCTTTGCAGTATGTTAATTTTTATTTTTAATAAACTCACTATATTCTTGCCTGATTTTTGTGGTTTTTTGCTGTTAGCTTTTAGTTAGCTAGAATTCCTAAATTAAAAACATCTTTAAATAAATAATAACAATATATAACAAAAATAAAAAGAGCATCATCACATGATGTTTTTCTCTGTGTATTCTACAGGGTAATTTCATTTCCCCTGAAATCATTTGACCCTCAAAAGACAGAAACTTTTATATCAATTATTTATAGACTTTGCCTTTCACCCCCTTTATCTGTCAAAACATCATGTCTGTAACATCAGATTTCTCCCTCCAAAAGTAGTTCACTAGCAAACAGCATGGAGTTTGTGTGTGTTCCTGTCACGTGGGGTTATACAGAGAGGAAATGAATTTGAGTATTGCAAAAAGCAGTGTCATATTCAGAGCAGGAGATATGATTTGAAGGAATGTTCCCTTCTCTGAGAATGTGGTACACACTTCATTCCAATACCTGTTTATCGTAAAATGTGTGAGCTATTCTTGGATGGCATAAGGTTTAATTCCTTCCCTCTAATACAGTTCATTTATGTGTGTAAGTTTCTAAGTATGGTTACATTAATGAAAGGTATTTCTCTAATGAGGCATGTGATGCCCCCAGTTTGGAACAAAGAGATGCTGTATGCAAGAAATTAGGTCATTTGAGAGTTGAGAGATTGTGGTTAGCATCCTTTAAAGTAGAAAAGTCCGTTGCAACCATGTTCTCTCTGTGAAAGGTAGGTGCTTTTGACGAATAAGTTATTGTTTCAAAGTGGATCCTCATCACCACTGCATTATCTTTCCTCCAATGTCTTCTCCTTTGCTGTAAAAGGAGTTGTTCATGAGGCGTGTTTCAAGAACTCACAATGAATTAAGCCTTCAAGTGAATTCAGATTATCTTTCAGTCCACGGTTAGACTGAGTCATGAAATAAGCACCAAGCCCTACCAATATGGAAAGATTTCTAAGTGGTAAAGGACTCTCCCCTAAACTTGTGATGATTCTGAAATAAAACTCCTACTTAGGAATTTATGTACTTTTGCTACTTGAGGAGCTAGGTAGAAGTTTCAAGTGTCCTCATTATTATTACAATTACCTCAGTCCAGATAATTCCTAAATACCTGGCTCTTTTTTTGAATGTGAATCAATGTCTCATATTTGACGACAGTATCTCATTCACGTAAGAAATTTTGAATTATTATCTCTTTGACACTAGCAAGTATTTTGCTGCAGTCCAGCTGACTATTATACTCTTCACGTCTACCTGTTAGCACTTGGCCTGTACTCAAGCAGAATAACACTACTATAATTTTCAAGATCATTCAGATGGCTGATTTTGATATCAGTGCAGAATGCTATCCCCAAAGCAGTATACCACAGCACATCACCAACAACGACCCATGATTTCTTACACTAAGAATTTGAACTGACAGTGAGGTCACTTTCCCATAAGTCAAAACTCATATCTTGGTAGATATTTTACAGTATATTTTTCTTGCTGATAGCCCACAAGCCTTGCTTTTCAACTATTCATAGTTATGAAGAATATTTGAAAATGTAGTAATATAATGCAATTAGTTCCCAGATGGTCAGTGTTTCTACAAATACAAAAAGTGGTAACTTTTAATAGTTACTTTCACAATTAACAGTTATTCTGAAAGTAATCTCGATTTTAGTGGTCACTCTTTAAACAGCAGAATGTCAATGTAATTCAGGCTCATTTTAGGCAAAAGAGTTGGTTACAACCCAGAGTCACTATTTCTAATTACCTTAATCCAAATCCTTTGAAGTTTGCTTCACTTAATTGTTTATCCTTGATACCAGTTGTATATATGAGCTTTTGGTTTCGTTCTTGAGTTGTAGTTTAGTAACAATGGGCCTTTGCTGACTATTGAAAACTACTAATAGAAAAAATAAATGAATACTAGTTATACCACTACAGGTTGTTTTATTTGGGGTTTTGTTGTTGTTGTTGTTCTTTATTTGGGGGTTTTGGGGGAGATGGTGTTTGAAGCAAAATGACTTGAAAATGACAGAAAGTAGCTTGTACTGTTTGAAATCACTGGAGGTTAAAGACACTCTTGTTTTGCAATTGGCTTAGCAGAAAATCAGCCTTAACTATTTTGCCAGTGCACCTCGGATAACAGGAAAGAGTTGTCAGAGAAAAAGCGGAATGCCTTACAAATGCCTTTGTTGCCTGATAAGTAAGACTTTTTAAAATGGTACTCTTTGTGAATGTATGGGGCCAGTTAATATCATTTTCATGTTTCTCCAGAAATATCACATTACAAATGAACACTATATATGTAATGGTCTCACCACAGGTCCCAGGGAGTGAGAAGGGCTCTTGGGAGAGTTTTACTCTTGCTTTTAACCTAACACAAGTCCTCCTTATATTCTGCTCATTCTGAATTGCCTGACACTTTAAGGGAGAAGTCATTCTCTGAGACTTTATTATATTCCAGAATGTGCCATCCTTGGGAAAAATGTAATGACAACAATGGGAATAGAAGGAAAAAGATTTGGGAGGTTTTCATTTGTAATGTATTCCACTCAGTTTCTACAGACTTAAAGGGGAAGGTGGCCTCTATTGTTGCTTTACAATTCCCCTTGCTCTCCTCCTGGAATAACTTCCCTAGTAGTATGGAAAGGCATCATTGTAAAAGATTCACAGTCAGGGAATTATGTGCTGATATTTGTTCGTTATGCAAATTTCTACTGATGGGAGGATATGATCCAGGCAATAATCAGTATTTTTCCCTTTTAAGCCAAATCTAAAGGGCACATCTGAAAGATGTGGATGGTTCCAGCCATACTTATTCATTGCTGTAAATAGGTATAATTTAATAATTTAATCCTTCTAAGGTGCACACTCTAGTACAAAGAAACATAATCAGTATCCATAATGTATGGCCTTTATATATTCATATATTCATTTCAAGATAGTTACACATTAAGTAGCTTAAGAAATATTTAAATATGCATTTCATAAATATGTATTTTCTAGTGGGGGAATTAAAAAGAATATAGGCTATGCCTGAGAAAAAGTCATGTTTTTTGAGATCATCAAAATTCACATTCTCTGAAGTATAGATTATAAACATAGTAAGTGGTAACATATCCAAAATCTCTCACTGTTTTTGTAGACTGCACTCGACTACCAAATAACAGCTTGGTATCACATCATGTTACAAAATCAGACTCTTAAAGTCCTCACCGGCAATCCAAATTGTGATTCAAAGACGAGAACGGTGCTGTACCTCGGGGATTTCGCGGGTGGACCTCAGCATCAGGCGGGCAGACCACCGTTTCCTGCTGGCCCTTCACCGCATCACTGACTGTGACCGAGTCGAGGGGCAGAGGATTTTACACATCATTATGGCTTTATAGTCACTTCAGAAGCCTACAGCTAAAGGTGAATGAGGACCATTTCAATGCACTACACAAGACAAAGTGCGTGCGCAAGAATGTAGTTATGAAGAAGTGGGACTGCTCCAACAGGCAGATGCTGCGCATCCCCGTGGTTCCTGAGACGCGGGCACTGTTAGGTAGTTATTCCGCGCTCACAAAGTTGTCACCCGCAGGAGCGGCGGGTCCTGCTGTCCTGCCTAGCCCAACCCAGCTCTGCCCTGCTCGCCGGTCCCCGGGTTGCCGCCGTGCCCACCCCTGGCAGTGCCCCGGCCGGGAGCCGCGGGGTTCGGTCGGCGGAGGCGTCCCACCGCGGCAGCTTTCCTTCCACCAGCTCCCTCCTACTTGCCTCTGCTCCCTGCTCCCCGCTCCCCGCACCGGGTCCCCGCGGGCTCTGGCCTCCCCCCGCCGCCTCCGCCGCTCCCGGGCGCTGCCCCCCAGCCACGGCCCTGCCCCCAGGCGCCCCCGCCGAGCTCCGGGAGCAGGGGCGGCGGTGGCATCCGCCGCCGGGAGCGAGGCAGGGCTCGGCGCCAGGAGCAGCAGCAGCTCACGCAGCCGCAGGGAAGAGGATCCGCCGGGAGCGGCCGCGGGACCGGCCGCCGAACACGGCGCGGAGGATCGGCACATCGCCGCTCCGCTGGGGGTGGCTCTGCCAACCCCCACCGCCGCCTCCCCGCCTCCCTCCCTCCCTCCTCCCTTCCCTCCACGCCCCTCCGTAGCGACATCCCTGCGAGTTTGCCTGTCTGCCCGTGCCCGTCGCTGGGCAGCTGGAACCGTATCTTCCCCTCCATCAACTCCTGGAAGCCGCCAGCGGCGGGCAGGGACCTGAAGTTGCGGCCAGCCCGGAAAGGGGAAAGTAGCGGCAGCGCGGAAAGGGCCGGAGCCCAGCGCAGCCCGGCCCAGCCGAGAGGGGCCGGCGCGGCGGCCGCCACCCGCAGCCCCTGGCCGGGGATGGCCCCGCGCCCCGGGCCGCGCCGCTCGGAGCCGAGCTCCGCAGGAGCCGCCCGGGACCCGCCGCGGTAAGACGGGGTTGCGCTTGGGGGGCGTCGGGAGCCGGGGGCTGGCGGTGCCCGGGCGGGGCGGGGAGCGCGGGGCGCGCCCGCGGGGCCGCGCCGAAACTTGTGCAAGTTGTGCGGCCCCGGGGCGGGCGCGGAGGCGGCGGTGGCGGCGGGGGGCGCCCCCTGCTGGCCGCGGGCGGGCTCCGTGCAGGGCCCGCGGGGCGGGGGCGGCCCCGGGGCGGCCGCCGAGGGTCGGGCTGACGGGGGACCCTCCTCCCGCCGTCCTCTCGCCGGGAGGGCCACCGCGTGGTTTTGTATACGCGTATAATTTTTTTTTTTTTATTTTGTTTTTAATTTGAGCTCCGTTGAATTTCGGGGGCGGGCGGTCAGATTTATTTCCTCCTCGGGTAGCTCCTGGTAGCATAACGGCAAAAGATGCCCTGAGACCTCCTGTTCACGCAGGAAAAGGTGAAGTAAAGCAAGCTTGAGTAGCCAATCTGAATTGTTCTTTTGCCAAGGATAAATTTTGGGGAACTTTGAAAATGCTTTTTTAAATTATTATTATTATTTATTTATTTATTTATTTCTCTAAAAGGAAAGATTAACTAACTCATCTTTGACTTTGTTATTCAAAGTACTTTAAATATGTTCTGACGACACCTGCACAGCTTCAGAGAACTTTTGTTTCTATTTCCACAGAAAGGACCAACATGCCAAGTGGAAGGAAATCTGAAACTGCTCTTTCGACAAGAAAGTATTGGCTTTCTGCCTCTTTCACATGTTTTTCTTTTGCATCATAATGGAAGGAGCAGGATTTTTTGAATCATTGAGGCCAAATTTGGGCATCACTGGCTGAAGATAAGATGAAAGAAGACTTGAAAATATGTCAGTACTCTGTGACTATTAATTCAGATGCACTTTTCGCAAAGAGAAGAATAGCGATTAAAAGCACTGCAGTTTCATCAGAAGGATCTAATGGAGGATCTTTGTTGATTTTCCTTCTTGCCCCTCCATGAATCCCAAAAGAGAAAGATGGAAAGAATGTGTATGGAAATTGAGCTAAAACAAAAACTGACGACAATAACTTCAGGTTTGGAGTTTGTTTTCCAAGTGCTGTAAATTCCCTATTTTATCAAATCTAACACACTGTTTTGAATAAATTATATCTTTTTTTGATCAGTGGAGTTTTTGTCAATTCTAAAAGTGGAATCTAACCTGATTGAAAGCTTTTTAAAAAAGCAAACCTATGACTCTGATTCCTTTTATCAGATGAAGTTTTTCAAGTTATCAAGAGATAACATTTCACTCTGTATCCTGTGCATTGTTGACCTGTGTTTTATATGCATATCTTAGAGATTTTATTTTTAACCTGATTTTAGTGTTTATGTTGTGTTGTGTTTAAGAAAAGTGTGAACAGATAAGGCACTTGAGATTTAAGTTTTCAAGAGCCGTGTCATTTCAATGTTGTATCTCAGATTGCAAGTAATCTCAGCCTCTGTTATAATGCACAGTATACACTAAATCTTTTCTCCTAAAAATATGCCTTAAGATAATAGATTTTTTTACTAACTGGGTGAATTTTTTATATCTGGACATTGTGTTTTGCAAGGAAATGCATGTCTGGGAAAGAGGAGCTACCTAATGGATCATGGCTCTGATGTTTGCAGGGCATACTTTATTTCTAGCATTAATGATGTTTGATGTCTTTGCTTTTGAAGAATCTGTAAGCAATTACTCTGATTGGGTGACTTTCATAGAAAATGTAGATCAATATGAGAAACAGCAACTTGAAGGCCTTAGAGCTGAGCAGAAGCTGAAAAAAACAGTCCTTCATCCAAGTTTGTATTTTGATGCTCAAGATGTTCAAGCACTGAGGCAGAAGGCTCACACAAGCCATTTGCATCTCTTTAGAGTCATCAGAAGTGCTGTGACGGTTATGCTCTCCAACCCTTTATACTATCTACCTCCACCCAAGTACGCTGATTTTGCTGCAAAGTGGAATGAGATTTATGGTAACAATCTACCACCTCTAGCATTTTATTGTCTGCTGTGCCCCGAAGATAAAGCTGCATTTGATTTTGCCATAGAATATATGGATAGAATGGCTGGCTACAAAAACTGGTTGGTTGAGAATGCACCTGGAGATGAAGTGCCGCTTGGTCATTCCCTAACAGGATTTGCCACTGCTTTTGATTTCTTGTATAATTCACTGGGAAATGAGAGAAGGCAAAAATATCTGGAGAAGATATGGTCTGTAAGCGAGGAAATGTATGAGTATTCCAAGGTTCGTTCCTGGGGAAAGCAGCTTCTCCATAATCACCAGGCAACTAATATGCTCGCTTTGCTTATTGGGGCTTTGGTTGCAGGAGTGGACAAAGGATCTCGGGCAAATATTTGGAAGCACACTGTTGTTGATGTGATGGAGAAAACCATGTTTCTGCTCAATCATATTGTAGATGGGTCTCTAGATGAGGGAGTAGCTTATGGGAGTTACACCGCCAAGTCAGTAACACAGTATGTATTCCTGGCCCAGCGCCACTTTGGTATTAACAACTTGGATAACAACTGGCTCAAAATGCACTTTTGGTTTTACTATGCCACCCTATTACCAGGCTTTCAGAGGACTGTGGGAGTAGCGGATTCTAATTACAACTGGTTTTATGGTCCTGAAAGCCAACTGGTTTTCTTGGACAAGTTTATAATGAAGAATGGAGCCGGCAACTGGCTGGCACAGCAGATTAGAAAACACAGACCCAAGGATGGGCCAATGGTGCCATCCACTGCACAGAGGTGGAGCACATTACATACTGAATTTATATGGTATGCTGCTGAAATCACTCCTCAGCCTCCTCCTGACTATGGTACTGCTAAAATGCATGTGTTTCCTAACTGGGGAGTTGTTACTTACGGGGCTGGATTGCCAAACAGTCAGACAAACACCTTTGTGTCCTTTAAGTCTGGAAAACTCGGTGGACGTGCTGTTTATGATATTGTTCACTTTCAGCCCTATACCTGGATTGATGGGTGGAGAAGTTTCAATCCAGGACATGAACATCCTGATCAGAACTCTTTCACTTTTGCTCCCAATGGACAGGTGTTTGTATCTGAGGCTCTTTATGGACCTAAACTGAGCCACCTAAACAATGTCTTGGTCTTTGCTCCATCTCCTACGAGCCAGTGCAACCAACCTTGGGAAGGACAGCTTGGCGAATGTGCCCAGTGGCTGAAGTGGATTGGTGATGAGGTTGGAGACTCAACTGGAGAAATTATTACAGCCTCTCAGGCTGGAGACATGATGTTTGTGAGTGGTGAGGCGGTATCTGCTTACACATCAGCTATGAAACTGAAAAGTGTGTATCGTGTTTTGCTGCTCCTAAATTCTCAGACACTATTAGTAGTAGACCATATTGAGAAGGAGGAAGACTCTCCTGTTAATTCTGTCAGTGCCTTTTTTCATAATCTTGACATTGATTTTAAGTACATACCCTATAAGTTTAAGAACAAGTACAGTGGAGCTATGATGGATGTGTGGGATGCCCACTACAAGATGTTTTGGTTTGATCATCGTGGGAGTAGCCCTGTTGCTAGGATACAGGAGGCTGAACAAGCAGCTGAATTCAAAAAGCGATGGACTCAGTTTGTAAATGTTACCTTTCCAATGAAAAATACGCTTACAAGGATTGTTTACCTTTTCTATGGCCCATATGTCAATGTTTCTGACTGTAGACTCATAGATAATGCAAAATCTGGATTTCAGATTTCACTCAGTGTCAACCACACTGAAAATACCATCTCTGTTGTGACCGAGTATCAGAATTTAAAGGCAAGGTTTGATTACTTGGGATTTGGTGGTTTTGCCAAAGTAATCCATGAAAATAAAGTGACCAAGTTTGGTCTTGGTACTGAATCTGTGAAAAAAGAGATAAAAAATAGTAGAGTGGTCTTCCCATTTGGATTCAAAGTGAACATAATTGCAGGGTTAATTTTGGGTGTCAGTTTGGTCATATTGGCTTTTCAGTGGCGGTTTTACATATCCTTCGGTAAAATGTTGCGCTGGATTCTGATACTGGTTGTCACACTGTGGCTTATTGAATTGGTGGATGTGTGGAGCATGTGTACTCAGCCCATCTGTGCAAAATGGAGCAGTGACATGACAAGGCTAGAACATGACAAAGGCAATAAAGCCAAACAATTAGAAGGAAACCCTGTTGTTTTGCCAGACGTTATCATTACTTCACTTCCCACTTCTGGTGCAGAAATTTTAAAACAGCTGTTTTTCAATACCAGTGACTTTTTATACATCAGAATACCTACACCCTATCTTGAAATTCCCGAGACTGAATTTGAAATTGATTCCTTTGTAGATCCATGTGAATGGAAGGTTTCTGATGTTCAGAATGGTAATTTTCGTCTTATCCAAGGGTGGCTCCAGTCTCTAGTTCGAGATACAAAGTTGCATTTACAAAACATTCATTTATATGAAGCTAGCAGAAGTAAAGTTGCTCAGCATTCTGCATTAAGCAAGGACAAAAAGAAAAGATCCAGAAAGAGAGAATCCCTGTCAGAGCAAAAAAGCAGGGCAAGAGGGAGTCAAGAAAAAGATGCTGAATATATCAGGGAATTGAGAAGACATCTCATCTATTACCCTAATGCACGGCCTGTGCTTAGTTTAAACAGTGGGAGCTGGACATTAAAGCTTCCCTTCTTTCAGGAGATCCTAGGACCATCGATGAAAGCTTTATATGTAGTGAGGGACCCACGGGCATGGGTCTATTCAATGTTATACAAAAATAAGCCAAGCCTTTACTCCTTGAAAAATGTTCCACAACACTTGGCTGCCATGTTTAAAGGGGAGAATGGTAAAGAAAAATGTAGTTTAAATGAAGGCTATGCCTCCGAATATGAATCACTGAGAAAAGAATTTTCAAATTCTAATTCAAATCCTGTTTCTGTCTTGTCCTATTTATGGCTAGCAAACACAGCAGCAGCAATGAGAATAAACGGGGACTTGCTCCCAACAAATTATCAGCTGATCAAGTTTGAAGATATTGTGAACTTTCCTCAGAAGACAGCTGAAACAATTTTTGCCTTTCTTGGTGTTCCTCTTTCTCCTGCTAGCTTAAACCAAATATTATTTGCCACCTCCACCAGTCTTTTCTATCTTCCTTATGAAGGGGAAATTTCACCAAGTAGCATTCATGCCTGGAAAAAAAACATGCCCCATGAAGAGATTAAACAAATTGAGGATATCTGTTATTCACTGATGGACCACTTAGGATACCCAAAGTTTATAGAATAAATGCTGCTGGTCAGCAGAAATTTGCACTAATGATCTCTGACTCCCAATTTGTGAATAAATACTATAGAAGTTTGTTTATTCTTGTAAAATGTGTACAGTCTGCGACTTTCAGAGAGATTATTTTAAGAAAAAAGAAAACTTTTTTTCACTGTTCTTGAAACTGGAGGATTTTTTGTTTGTTTTATTTTGATTTGTTTTTCTTTAAAAAGAAATTGTAACTACTTTTGCTGCCTTTCAAAAAAAGCTGTGTGAACCTTTGCAGAACTACCATCTGGGACCACTGTAGCTCAGGGGTTTAGTAATAGATCAGAGAGCTTTTCACCTCCAACTCACCAGTCTGATTCCAGCCCAAGTGGTTAGTTCCTGATAGTACTTATCATTTGATGATTGTATGATGGCTTATATGAAATTATACTTGTTAAACTGGTCCTGTTGACCCCCTTGAATGGGTTTACTGATGCATTCTGTCTGTGTCTCACTGGTCACTATAGTGGTGCAAAATAAATATAAGCTAAGATTTAGGGTTGTTCAGCATCCCTTCAGCAGGAGGAAACAGAACGTTTGAATAAATCTAGTTCCTTATTTACAATCTGAGCAGAGAGGCCTGGGGTTGACATTGATGTGGATATGAAATCTCATTGTAGGATATGGTTCCTTCAGCTCAGAGATGTGGTACTTAAACTGGGTTTTGAAGTAGGAAAAGAAATGGGACAAAATCTAAGAAACTAGCAAGATTCCCCAAATGAGCAGTTAAATTTGGAGAAGATTTTGTGTAGTTTTGGCCTGCCTCAACATAACCTAATTTTGAAGGTAATTAACATATTGGCTTCTTGCACTGCTTTATCTTGTACCTCTTGTCTGAGAGGTACTGCACAGATTTTCTCTTTTTGAGTGAGACTCTTCCATCCTTCTTTGTTGTAACACATTTCTCTGGTGATTCTTGTGCATAATTTCTCTGGGACCAGTGCAAATATTTGATGTCATTGTCCATGGTTTATTACTGATGTTTGCATAAAGTGGCTGTCTGAGATTTAGAAGACCTCAGATAAACCTTTAGGTCTGTGTTGCTGAGGGATGTTTTGCTTGTCTGTATAATGAATTTCTGAAGGATAGCCATTGCTAACCTCAGGTCTTCTTTCAGCAAGGGGAGAGATCTGAAAATCACCCATCCCTCAGCCACCTCACATTTGAGTGATGTTTCCCTGCAGTAAACTATTTCCAAAGTTGTCTGATTTTTATAATGATTGGTGTTTCTTTAACATGATGCTGTACTGTGATTTTGGTTTGGAAACAGATAGGCCTGATAAGATAGATGTGTATTTGTCACAGCTTATTTTCTTCTTGAGTCACATTCTTTGTTTCACATGCCCATTAAAAAAAAAAAAAATTCCCATTTCCCAATTTAACTTGCTCAGCATTCCCTGGAAATGCATGCATATTGTAAATGTCTGCAGATGTGTAAATCATATCACAAAGACATCTATTTCTTTCACCACCTGTTTTTCATTGCAAATGGAATTGTCTTGAAATATGCTTCGGTTTGTGGGAGCTAGAATCAGAGCTTTGGCTTATTATATTCAAATATGTGTGTAAGTGCTATTTATTTGGGTGGTAAACATTAGGCAATGTCAAAAGTGCAGTGAGTTTCTTTACACAGATTACAGGTACCCTTGCTGATTTTTAATGTATAGAAGTTCTTGTCTTTTCTTCTACTCTTAGTATTATGTCCCTGTCTTACTCCACTATTTTGTCCCTCCCATATGTACATTTCACATCCTTTGGAGCACATTGGGATATTTCATCATGACCTAGATAAAAATATCTCTTTCTCAGGCAGTCATTAATATGCCAAAAGAGGCCTCTAACATGATAAAACTATTGATAATTTGTCATCTCACTTACAATAATTTACCTGTCCTTTACTAGGGATAGTTGTGTTTTCCCCTTCAAACCTATGTTTCACCCTTGGCTAGGTGGAATGCCATGTTAAAAGAAATATTAAAAGTAAATATACATTGATGTTTTAGTGAAACTTTGGTTTCCAAGTATCATTCTTTCAAACTGACTTCTCTCTGAAGCCATTTTTGATTGTATGTTAAAAAAAAAAGTACTGATGTCTGTACAGTTTGTACTTGACAGAATAAATTTCAGCATTCACCTTCTATTTCCATGATTTACACTCTAGAACCAGAACAAATAAAAAGGCTTTGTTCTCTCAGATGTTTTAGGGCAACTGAAGGTAAGATTTTGTGGGTATACAGAGTTATTCTCTTGTCAGTAGAACCCGGAGGAAGAATGGTCACTAGATAGACATGGACAGTAACTTCCCCTTTCTCGATGTAGTAATGTTTAAGACTGTCAGTAAACTTTGAGAATTGTTCGGCCTTTTTGAAAAGCATGCCTGTTTAGGTATACTGTATTGAAAAGTGTTCTGCTTATGAAAACTGATCTTGGTACTTTATCTTAACTTTACTTCCTGTTTCTCCCTCTGTTAAATGTTGATGCTTATTTGTATTATATTGTGGTTTGAATTGTCCAATTATGACACAGCTAAGATTTTTATGTATTTTTTTTAAAAGGCAGGCTTTATTTAAATGCTTATCTCTGAATCATATTTGGAAGCATAAGAAAAATAAAAACCAAGGAAAACATGTCAGTTATTTACTTACTTTGTAACTAAGTGACATTGGCCCTGGGGAGATGCACATAGGTCTTGGCATTCAGAGTTCTATCAAATAGCTTAAATCTGTAATCTCTGAGCACATCTAAATGCCTCTCTTGCTCCCAGTAGGCTTTTTCCAAGAGCAACATCTGTGTAGATGAGCCTTAGTATCATGGTCAGATTCATTCTTTTCACCCTCTTAACACACAGTAGCCATGCAGTCCTCATCAGATTTATGTTTGAACAGTTAATTTGCCAGATTTGGAGTTAAATTTCTGTACAAGATCCTCTATTATGTAAAATAAATGTCACAACTCGTTTGACAGTGTAATACCATTCTGATAGTGTTAAAATGCAATTTAAACAAAAATTTCCAGTTTTATAAAATTTTTGTTAACTGATTTGTAAAGCTGCAGTCATGGGTCAGAATTTTTTTTTTATTTGTTTCACTTGCTGTTGTAAAAATGGTATGACTCCTAACAAACTTTGTCCATCCTACAGTCAATTATTTTCATTATTAGAGACATTATTTATTTGATGAACATAAACATACATTAACTGGAATATAATACTGCATTTCCTGAAAACATTTGAAGTGTACAGTTCAAGAGTAAGGGTGAAAACATGTGATATCAATATTTCTGTAAGTTAAAAAAGTTACCCATTTTGCAAGTGGCCCATATTCTGGGTTCTGTATATTGTAATATTTTGTAGTTAGAAACTGTCATATTTCTTTAGGTGACTTAGTAATTTATCAAAATTATTTCTTTTTATTTACACAAATTTTCAAGAGGATAAGTGCTGGACCTTAACAGTTCTGTGGTCAGAGTGATCAGAGCAACATAAACTTTCATTCCTTTCTCTAGACTCCCCTTTAGCTTTGGTTCAGACTGAAACCTTTGTTTAAATCACATAATGGATGGGCTGTCTTCCAAATGAAGAGTCTGTCTGGAGACACAGTCTCAAATTCCGTATTTACATATTGTGGAATATTATTGATTCTGAGTTATGAGTCAAAACTAAATTGAGAACTGCTCAGATTTGGAACGTAAGTGGAATGCTACCATGCTGACCTCAATTAATGTTGTGCTATCAATTTCAACAGGAAAAAAATACTGTCATCTACTATTATCAAACTGTTATCATCTAGTTGGCTTGAATATTCCAAAACAGAAGAAATTAAAGGAAGTAAATACCTCAAATGATCATGAAATATTATTGTTCTTGTTATGTGATGACAAAAGGAAGTGTATTTTAATAATGTAAAAAAATAAAATTGTTCTGTAACTCTAATCGAAACTACTTGTAGGCTGTCTGATAAATTTATAAGCTCACTGAAGGAGGTGTAGAAACAAAGAGATATTCAAATTAGTCTACGAAGTACAATTTTCAAATGTAAGGACTTTGATTTTCTTCAGTGAGGAGAAATTTGCTGATATGTGATCAACACTGTTCTCATAAAATATGTGGATGGGTAATCTTGTGCTGTCTCAGAACATACTTAGAATGGGAAAGTACTATTTCATGTTGCTGAAATGATACTGTTTTAAATTAAACTATACATCTTTTGAGCTGACAATATGCTGAGAGTTATGTGTGATGGAGGAAAACAAGGACAGTCTGATTTCATTCACAGTTGTCTATAAGAGAATAATTTCTGAAAGGCTCTTAATTTATGATGGTATAAATTCAGCACTTTGTTTACTGCCTTTACTGAGAAAGTGTGGAGTTTATGTGAAGTTTATTGTGGAGTTTATGAACATGACCTGAAATAATCTATTTCACATTAGGTAATTTAACTTTCTTACCTAAATAAGGAGCTTTGTCACCCTAGAATCAATGGAAAGTGAATGCTGCCTTCAAAGGTAAATCAGATACTGCTTTCATCTTTTTAAATACTCAACAACCAAGAATGATGAAACTTTTAATTTAGATGCCCACTGACAGACTTCAAATGAGGTAGGATGAATTTAGATTTATATGTGTTCTGTCTTACATGTAAGTATATTTCTGTGTCTGAGCAGTTCTAGTGCATACACTGTCCAAACAAAATTTTGTGAAACATCCTGCATAAAATAAAGCTATTGTTAGTAAAATAATAAGTTTGTGTTATTCTTTCTTTTTTCCCCCAAATTATTTCACCACTTAGGATATCACAAAACTTTGTGATGTGGTCAAGTGTATGTATTTAAAATTCAAAAATACTGGTATTTTTGTTTGCTTTGAATATGGAAACCAGTTACCTTTCAGAAAGTATTGATAGCAAGACCTGAATTTTCTGCCCTTGTATCCACAGTAAGTACATTTGGTGTTAAGTAAAGGACCACAAAATAGCTGTATTCCTAGAACAGATAGGATAATTTCCCATTCAGTTCTTGGGACAGTTGTTTCAATCCATAATTTTGAAGTCCCTTAGTCTATAAACATGTAGCTATATGCAAACTGTGTATTTACAATAGTGCCTCTTCTAGTTCCTGAACTATACCCAGGAATTTTTTCAGAGACCATTCTTAAATTTAAGTGTAGATAAGCAAGTTGCAGTGACCATGAATGTCCTCTAGTGTGATTTTTTTTTTTTTTTTTTTTCAAGACTCATAGTCAAGATAATTGGAATAACAAGCCTTCTGGATCTCTTTTGCTGAATGTGGGCTGGCACAGGCAGCATCTGTCAGATTCAGAGGCACAGGTAGTTCAGCATCTTTATTGCTGCAAAGATCTATAATAGACTGCAGGTGCGTCTCAGTTGCATCTAGTTCTGCAGCAGAGTTTTGCAGGTTTAATTAATTTTGTTTGTTTGTTTCTTTAACTTAGAAGGATATGCTTGGGATATACCTTAAATATAGCAAGAATAAGACCTAATTTTATCTCTCCTGTGGACTTCAGCATGTTGTAAAGCAGAAATTTGCATGGTTTTGAGGCTTTTTGATGTGATATTTAACTGTGAAATAGGTTTAGTGTTGGCTTTTGTTTATTAGGGTTTTTTTGGTGATTTTTTTTTCTGGTTTGGTTTTGTGTTTTTTTGTTTGTTTGTTGTGTGCGGTTTTGTTTTCTTCTGGAGGGTGTTATCCCTGTGTTGGCCCTGTTAGTGGCTGCTGAATGATTGTGCAGTATGTATTTTGCTTTGTAGGTCATCCTAGGTCACGTCACTGTACTCGCACAAGTTTTTTTTTTTTTTTTTTTGGCCTTCTGATTCTTGAACCCATTTTTGGCTTTTGGGAGAGTTGCATGGAAAATATCTGTTATGATAGGAACAACAAGGTGTGTTGTAAAAAAAAATGTTACTGTCTATTGCAAATTCTTTGACAATATTTTTCTCCAGCTATTTTCTGAAAGGTTGTTCACAGGGAATAAATGCTATATACAAAACTAAGGAAAGTAATACTAGGAACATGATAAAAGGTGGGCTGTCAGAAACAATAATGCATACTTCTATCTGTGAAACCATTAATATTTTCCCTCTTAATTGCTTTTCGAAGAGAGCAATGGCTTACATTTTCTTTGGACTCTTTTTAAAACCTTTTTGTGTTTTCGTCCTACGGCTTGCCTTGAAATAGACTTTTTCCCCATGTTTTCTGAACCTTATTTTGAAATGTTAATTTTGTTACTTTATGAACCTTCTTCTGTGTTTCAAGATCTTCGAGTCTGTTCTCTTCATAAATTACATCCTACAGCTGCCACTTGATTTCAAGTAACATAATCTCAGGGGTGGTGAGGACTATGATAGGTACAGAGAAATGAACTGGGAAACAGGAGAAACAAAACATTCAGCTGCTGAGGAGAACAGACTTTAAAATGTGTGTTGGAATATTTAGGTCTTAATGAGCTGACATATCATGCACTGTCAATACCTGAATAATAGACTTTATTATTCACTTTAACTGATCAGCTGAACATGGTTTCAAAATACCAAATGAATACTGATGGAAAGAGAAGTTAAAAGGAAGTTTTGTTTGTATTTATTTTGATTTTTTCTTCAAAGTGGTGTTATTGTTTCATATTCCCAAGCTGTGTTAATTTGTAGCAGGATAGCTATTAACCAACTAGCTCTGTAACAAAATTGTTGCCACCAAAGGATGCTTTTCAATGATAGGATGTAGCTTTGCCTGCTGGTTATAGATTCAATATTGATGATTTCTCAACTGCCCTCATCCTTTGGTGACATTTGAAAGAATAATTTACTTCTGCAATAATAAATTTTTCATGTTAAAGAATGGACTGCATTGTTGCTAAGCAAAATAGAGGTGATATGAAAACCTGGGTATTATAGACAAAATACTATCAGTCAGTCATACTTTTAAAAGTAGGGGTGTATCCCACATCTATTCCTCAAGCATAATTACTAACCTTCGTAACACTCTTTAATTGCAGGCTAGGCTAAGATGAATTTTCTTCTATTTGCTGAAAGAAAAGAGCAAACACACATTAAAATACCCTGGCTTTATTGATATACTAGGATTTTTTTAAGTTGCTGTCACGTAAATGTATGTCTGTACCCCTAAATCTGTCCAGGGTACACTTGTAAATCTTACATAATGAATGCTCCTGTTGATTTCAGTGGGTAGGAATTTACTTATTTGTATTCCATCTTTCTCTGATAACAGCCACGCCTTAGCACTCTTAATACGTGAAGTGAATGGAATGATTAGTAAAGAGCCAGTCTAGACAATATACAAAGATTTCTAGTTTTCATTGTTCACAGTTTGTTGAAACTGTTTGCCAGCAATCTGCTTTATCTGCATTTAGCTCAGTTTGCTCTGCATAGCAACAGACTCATAACACCCTTTGAAGAATCTCCCTTGAGAAGTTTAGAAGTTAAAGGTACAGTTTTAAACAGCTAATGTATTTATCATTGCTTTAGTGCCTCTTAAGTTAATAAAGATAAAATTTTCTTTTTGATTTAAAGGTGCAGGGAAAATGAAAGGAAAAAAAATTACATTTCCTTGAAAGTTAAATGTAAATATACAGTTTATATAAAAAGGTGTTTAAATGTTATTAAAGTTTAGGAAAAAATCTATAAGGTCAGTTTAGCAAAACTGCTATTAAGTGTGTTATTAAGTTATTACTACTCGTGCTCTATAATGTATCCTGCAAAACAGGTACAAATATGACCAATTTGCTTTTGTTGGACTTCTGAAACAGAATCAGCTATATACACAAACAATCTTTAACTGAAAGTAGATGCAATAACCTCATGAAAAGGTGATTTTAACCATATTTAGATACCTTGAAGTTTTTCTTGTACTTAGAGACTTTTATTTTTTATTTCCAGTGAATAATTAATAACTCCATTTTAATTTAAATTTTTGTTACTATTACAGGTGTATTATTTATAGTGGGAGAAATGGTCTATAACTTTAAAGATCTCATAGTCTAAATGGTAAATTTCTATTAACATCTATATTTTAGAGACTAAAATTCAGTAACTTACATAAGTCTTATAGATGATTCTATGGGTGTAATGGAAGTTGAATTTAAATAGCTCAAATCTCAGTCTGATTCCATGAATCTCTTGCAATTTATCCTTAAACATAATCATTTGTGGTACAGTCATAGAATCATTTAGGTTGAAAAAGACCCTTGAGATCATCGACGCCAACCCAACACTGCCAAGTCCACCATTAAACCTTGTCCCCAAGTGCCATGCTCTCATATTTTTTAAATACCTCCAGGGACTGTGGCTCAATCACTTCCCTGGGCAGACCTCTCCAGTGCTTGACAATCGCCTTGGTGAAGAAATTTTTCCTAGTGTCCTTGCCTGATACAACTTGAGGCCATTTCCTCTTGTTCTGTCATTTGTTATTTGGGAGAAGTGACTGACCCCCACCTTGCTAAAACATCCGTTCAGGTAGCTATAAAGAATGATAAAATTCCCCCCACAGCCTTTTTTTCGTCAAACTAAACAACCCCAGCTTCCTCAGCTGAGCCGCCTCAGACTTGTGCTCCGGACCCTTCACTGGCTTCATTCCCTTCTTTGGATACACTCCAGCATCTCAGTGTCTTTCTTGTAGTGAGGGGCTTCTCAGCCTTTTGTCTAAAATCAAGTATAGTCTAGTGTAGTATAAATGTTGTGCATGCATATCGCCCATTTCCTAAAATTCTGATAATTTTGGGAGTCAAAATGCTGAAAATCAAGCAATGTCTGTAGTGTTGAACTAAGTCATACACTGAAAATATATGCAGTGAAGTGCACAGAGATTTAAGGGTGATGAAGGCCCCTCAACAAATACACTGAATTTGTTTTGAATTTAGAACATAAAACAGGTTCTGACATAGGAAGCTTACTGGGAAATGTCTAGGTTGTGGCTTGCTTTCCTTCCAAATCAAGCACTTCTTTTTTTTTTTTTCCATGTGGCATTTTAGCTGAAAGTTTCCTGAGACTGACCATCCTATGCTCCTCTTCTTTTTTATCTTCTGTAGTTTCCATATAAGACTTCTATTTATCTGTTTTAGAAAGATATATTTGTTTATCAAGAGTGAATTTGATGAACTGTTTCATTACATTTTCCTTCTGCTTTAAAAATAAAAATCGTACTTGCAGGCATTTTGTGAAGGAATCCATCAGAATTTCTTAAAGTCACAAATTAGAGAAAGTAGTCAGAATATAACTGTGATTGCAAACTCCAACAGACACTTCAGAATGTCATCTTATACCAACAAAAAGAATTTAACCTTATTTTCTCTGCTGCAACTTTATTGCTGTAGTTGTATACACCCTTTTTATTTAAAATAAGACAAAAAATACCTTCATCAAAACAAATACATATAGTTCACAGTTGTAATCATTATTACTGTGAAAAGCTCATGGCTGGAATTCTGTGGTAAACCAAATCTGCAATATCTTTTGCATCCTGTGTGAATTCAACTGTGACAAAATTGCCCGCAAATTAATAGGTTTCTTGCTCTGAGGTAAATCTGTTCATAGCACTAAAAACACTGGCAAACATATCAAGAAAAATTATTTTAACAATAATTTATCATATTTTATTCTTGTAGATCTTATTTACAAGAGAAAGTTGAGTATTCTGTTTTTATTTTGACATAAAAATGCACTCATCTAAGTACATTTTTTTTATCTGAATCTCTCCAAAATTTGGAGAGAGAC